CGCCTCTCGCTTCCTTCAAAAACCATTCTCCATCCCCTGCATTCGCCCGCCAAACACGTGTGATCGCCATGGCGGATGACGCCACGAGACCAGAAGGCACGGAGGAAAATCGCGATAATGCGCGCGAAACAGGCAAGAATTCGATTACCGTCTTCCCGCGTCGCTTTCGTTTCCATAGCTGTTGAGAGCACCGTCCTTCCCGTCAGAATCGCTAGTAGCTACGGTATGAACGTCCCTATCGCGTGGCAATACCGGTAAGTCATTTTCCCCGTGTACTTTCCTCGTCCGCGTCGTTAACGCGTGCTCTGGTTCGCGTGCAGAGGAGGTTCGAGCGCTGAAGTCGACGCTGCGATTCCTCGTGTCCAACAGCGACGCAGGGTCCATCATCGGGAAAGGCGGCGTGGTGATCTCGGAGTTCCAGACGCAGTCCGGCGCCAAGATCGTGCTCTCTCGCGCGCGCGAGTACTTCCCAAACACCACGGACCGCATCATTCTGCTCAGCGGCAGCGTCAGCGCCATCCTTACGGCTCTCCACCTCATCCTCTCCAAACTCGCTGACGTATGCTCCGCCGCCTCGTCTCCATCCTCATCCTCATCGTCGTCCTATTTGTCCAAGCTTGTCGTGTAACCAATCTCATAGAAGTAGGACGACTACCCGCTCATCCCGTCGTCTAGAACCCCCATGCGATGCCTCCCTGCCTCGCTGGCGTATTCCATTATTTCGTCGAGATTTCGCCTCTGTCCGACGCTGCGTGCCGTGCTGGCAGGAGCCGCGGCGCAACGAGCCGGGCGCGCGGGAGGGCGACGTGGATCTGCGAATCGTGGTGCCCAACAGAGTATGCGGCGCCATCATCGGCAAGGGCGGCGCCACCATCCGGTGAGGCGGGGAACCATCAGGTGAGGGAGGGAACCATCAGGTGAGGGAGGGTACCATCAGGTGAGGGAGGGTACCATCAGGTGAGGGAGGGTACCATCAGGTGAGGGAGAGTACCATCAGGTGAGGGAGGGTACCGTCAGGTGAGGGAGGGTACCATCAGGTGAGGGAGGGTACCATCAGGTGAGGGAGGGTACCATCAGGTGAGAGAGGGTACCATCAGGTGAGGGAGCGTGCTGCCATCAGCGTGCTGCCATCAGCGTGCTGCCATCAGCGTGCTGCCGTCAGCGTGCTGCCATCAGCGTGCTGCCATCAGCGTGCTGCCATCAGCGTGCTGCCATCAGCGTGCTGCCATCAGGAAAAAACCTGCTGCTGAGTTGACTTGGGAGTCACCGTCATTCTTGTCTTTCATGGATAATGCCATGCATGTCAACCATCAGATGATGTCATGAATGTCAACCATCAGGTGATGTCATGCATGTCAACCATCGGATGATGTCATGCATGTCAACCATCAGATGATGTCATGCATGTCAACCATCAGATGATGTCATGCATGTCAACCATCGGATGATGTCATGCATGTCAACCATCAGATGATGTCATGCATGTCAACCATCAGATGATGTCATGCATGTCAACCATCAGGTGATGTCATGCATGTCAACCATCAGATGATGTCATGCATGTCAACCATCGGATGATGTCATGAATGTCAACCATCAGATGATGTCATGCATGTCAACCATCAGATGATGTCATGCATGTCAACCATCAGATGATGTCATGCATGTCAACCATCAGGTGATGTCATGCATGTCAACCATCAGATGATGTCATGCATGTCAACCATCAGATAATGCCATGCATGTCAACCATCAGATGATGTCATGAATGTCAACCATCAGATGATGTCATGCATGTCAACCATCAGATGATGTCATGCATGTCAACCATCAGGTGATGACATGCATGTCAACCATCAGATGATGTCATGCATGTCAACCATCAGATGATGTCATGGATGTCAACCATCAGATGATGTCATGCATGTCAACCATCAGATGATGTCATGCATGTCAACCATCAGGTGATGACATGCATGTCAACCATCAGATGATGTCATGCATGTCAACCATCGGATGATGTCATGAATGTCAACCATCAGATGATGTCATGCATGTCAACCATCAGATAATGCCATGCATGTCAACCATCAGATGATGTCATGCATGTCAACCATCAGATGATGTCATGCATGTCAACCATCAGATAATGCCATGCATGTCAACCATCAGATGATGTCATGCATGTCAACCATCAAATGATGTCATGCATGTCAACCATCAGGTGATGTCATGCATGTCAACCATCAGATGATGTCATGCATGTCAACCATCGGATGATGTCATGAATGTCAACCATCAGATGATGTCATGCATGTCAACCATCAGATAATGCCATGCATGTCAACCATCAGATGATGTCCTGCATGTCAACCATCAGATGATGTCATGCATGTCAACCATCGGATGATGTCATGAATGTCAACCATCAGATGATGTCATGCATGTCAACCATCAGATAATGCCATGCATGTCAACCATCAGATGATGTCATGCATGTCAACCATCAGATGATGTCATGCATGTCAACCATCAGGTGATGTCATGCATGTCAACCATCAGATGATGTCATGCATGTCAACCATCAGATGATGTCATGCATGTCAACCATTAGATGATGTCATGCATGTCAACCATCAGATGATGTCATGCATGTCAACCATCAGATAATGCCATGCATGTCAACCATCAGATGATGTCATGCATGTCAACCATCAGATGATGTCATGCATGTCAACCATCAGGTGATGTCATGCATGTCAACCATCAGATGATGTCATGAATGCCATCCCCGCCTCAAGTCTTCCATTCCCTCAGTTATTACCCACGATCCTCGCCAGCCACTGCCAAATCATGTTCCCAAATCCCCAATCCGCGTTCCCCCTTCCCCCCTTTGACACACTGTTCCCCTGGCCGCAATTCCCTCTGCCAGGTCATTTGTCGAGGACTCGCAAGCGACCATCAAGCTGTAGCTCCACAATCGCTCCTCCCCCGCTCTCTCCCCCACTCCCTGCTGATGTTCCTCTGGCTGCCTTCCCCGCTGCCAGGTCGTTCGTGGAGGATTCCCAAGCGACCATCAAGCTGTCGCCCCAGGATGCGGCGGGGCCGGGGTTTGCGGAGCGGCTGATCACGATAGGCGGCACGCTGGAGCAGAAGCTGCGGGCGGTGGCACTGCTGCTCACCAAGATGTCGGAGGACCCCACCTACGTGCAATACGCCGACGTGCCTCTGTCCTACACGGGTAAGCAAAGGACCCCACCTACGTGCAATACGCCGACGTGCCTCTCTCCTATACGGGTAAGCACCTACGTGCAATACGCCGAGGTGCCTCTGTCCTACACGGGTAAGCAGAGGGCCCCCACTATCATACCGCTTCCTCCTTTTCGTCATCCACCCTTTCCCCGTTTCCCCCCACCCCCTGCCCTGCCCCCGCAGTCCATTAGAAACATCAATAGGATGTAGCATTGCCATCGCTATTTGGATCCAGGTTTGCATGGATCCTAGGTTTGCATGGATCCTAGGTTTGCATGGATCCTAGGTTTGCATGGATCCTAGGGTTGCATGGATCCTTTTTTCTGCTGAGAGCTGTTATCTGCAGGGTGCCCATACATTCACTGCTTGTCTTCTCAACGTTCTGCCCCTTACAGGCGCGGGCGGCCGAGGCGGTTTCAACGGGGGTCCAGGCGGTTATGGCGGTGGTGGGGGCTACGGTCAGGGTCAGGGCGGTTATCCGGGTTACCCAAACACGGGGGGGTATGGCGGACCTCCCTTCGGTGGCTTGCGGGGACCACCGCCCTACGGCATGCCGGGGCTGCCACCAAACCGAGGAAAGGTGTGCTGGGACTGTCGATAGCTGCATGGATGTGTCTTCAAGGCGCTGTAACGGTATTCTGCATGGAGGTTTATTGGTGCAGAGCTGTAGTTTGGCTTGAGTCCGTGTGAACTGTGAACCCTCGGCCAAGTCAAACCACACTGCCCAGGTCAAGCCTCCGTTGTCGTGAATTCTCAGGCTATCCGTGTATGCTCGTCACTCCACTGTTTACAGTCACACCCTCACTCCCATCACCAACCGGGCCTTGGAGGCTGTGCATAACTGGCAATGGGTTTCACTGGGCATTATCACTCCCTACACCATCGTAGTGAGCACCTCTCTATTCACCGCCTTCTCTCCCCATCATTCGCTCTCTCCCTCTCTCCACTCCTCCACATCCGCCCCTGCTGGCGCCCCCCACGATGCTGCCGGGGGGTGTGGTCCCACGATCATCGTAGTGGCGGTGCTGAATGACCATGTGGGGCCCGGGTGGGGAAGAGGGGCATGGCCGTTGCCCATTGCCGCCGTGAACACCATCATAGGCAGCATCACTTCATTCATCCGCCACCCCCCTCCCCCCCCACCCCCCCGCCCCAACCCTCCCATCACTGCCACACCCTCTCTCCCTGCAGGCGCCTCCTCCAATGCTGCGTGGAAGCGTGGTCCCTACGACCATCATAGGTAGCACCTCTTTCTTCACGCCTCAGCTTTTCATTGCTCCCCCCATCCTCCCCTATCCACCCCTCTCCCTCCCTGCAGGCGCCTCCCGCAATGCTGCCAGGGGGTGTGGTGCCGACGACCATCATAGTGGCGGTGCCGGACGACCATGTGGGCGCTGTGGTGGGCAAGGCGGGCCGCTCCATCAATGAGATACAGCAGGTACTCTAAACCCCAAACTCGGAACTTATCATTCTATACTCCGGACCGGACCATTTAGATTTGGTAGCTCTGGCTAAGAGATTCGCCATGTGTTGACCTTAGCTAGGCAATACTGTGGAAGAATTCATTATGCTCATGTTCTGGCTTGCACTTCCTTGCATACTGGGTGTGTGCTGTGGTTTATACGCCATGTGCTTGCTCGCGTCTTCGTCATGTGGTTGCTGAGTTGGTTGTGACATGCATGCTGTCTGTCTATGCATCTGTTCCTGACCCTACGTTGCTCTCCACAGACCACGGGTGTGCGCATGGTGATATCTGACAGAAACGATTACGTTGAAGGAACCAGAGACAGGTAATGCCTTCCGCCTGTGCCCATCGTGCACACGCTTCGTTTTGCTCACTGCCAAGCAATGTAGTGGACGGCATAAGTTCACTTGAACTTCTTCACCATCGTGCCATTCGTTTTCCACCTAATTGCCTGGGCTAGGAACCCCCCTTAGATTTCCCGAGCATCACTGGGCCTCATGTTGCATCGTACGGGTGGGTGCGTGAGCAGGAAGGTGACAATAACGGGGTCATCGGAGGGCGTGGTGGCGGCGCAGCACATGATCGCGCAGAAGGTGCAGCAGAGCATTGCCGCAGGCAGTGGGGACCGCCATGGGGGAGGGCACAGGGACGAGAAGGACGATGGGCCACCCCCCGGCCTATAGCTACAGCTTACTGGTAGAAGTGATTGCCTGATGGCAGAGGAATGGAGAAAAACGTGGCCTGTTTTTGGAGATCAGCTTTGCCTCTTCTAGAAGGATGGGGTTTGCAGTTGTATGGTAAGCAGTTTCAGCAAACAAGTTAGTGGGGGAGGATTATAGAGGCGGGTACTAGGCTAGGTCGAAAGTACTGTCGAAATTCCTGGTGGGTCCACCTGGTGGGTTGGCTGAGTACTGTCGAAATTCCTTGCATCAAAAATAAACATAGGTAGGGCATGACAGCTCTCACTGGCAGCAGCATAATATGTCCACCTAGCCACCCAACACCCGCCCCTTTCCACCTCGCTCTTGTCTTCAATTTCTGTCTCCAGCATGATCCAGCTTGTGGTGTCTTTCATCCCCACATAGGTGTGTTCCATCCCCATGCTGCTTCCCATCCCCATCTAGCACGCTATTTCTAGACCAATGCTACCAAGAGCAAGAATATTTGCACCTGGCAGTGCCTGCCCCACAACCAGTGCTATGCCCAAAGCGTCGCAAAGAGTGTCGTCGTTCTCGGGTACCCTCACCCGCAGCTTCAGCTCTGCAAGCGTCGACTCGCGGAACAGCGCATCTCGATAGCGAGCTCGCGCTGGCCACGCCCTGTCTGTGTCGTCCCCGTCCACGGCGGCTCCTTCCTCGTACTCCAAGTCGAAGGCCTCCAAGCGGGCTCCGCTCACCAAGTCGTACTTGATGTCCACGTAGCAGATCTCTTCCAAGCACCCAAACTGGTAGCAGAAACGCCTCTTATACTCTTCCTGTGCAGGTAACTGTCGTACGAATCTTTTGCCTTCGTCTTGGATTGAGGCTTCCTGAACCAGGAACAACAAGTCATGGAACCCCGCCCTGGTGTCGTCTCCTTTAATAGACACCGTCACATCCAAACACATCTCGTTGCTGCCGTACCACGTGCTTTGTGTGTCCTCGCCGTTCGCTCGGTCTATCAACATGTGAGCGGCCTCCCACACGTTGTGATCTTCCAGCACTAAACAGTCGTCTGCGTCGCAGCTTTTCTTCTCGCACGTGTACTCGTAGGAGTCATTCTTGCCCAGGTACATGTGGTAACATGTCAGCCGCTTCGGCCAATCCGTGAGCTCGTCGCGGTTAACGCCGTCGGCTTCGACGAACGCATAGCGACGGCTTGGGTCTTGTCTGGCTGCTTCCTCCGTCCACCTTCGCACACACTCCTCTTTCAGCGAGTACGCGTCCGCAGCATCGCGACGGCGGGGCAGGGCGAAGGCCAGGGCGAGGACGATCGCAAGGGATCGAGAGAAGCGAATACATGACATGACGTCACACCGCGGCGGGAGGGCAGGGCACTGGGAAGCAGGGAGGGACGGGGAGTGTTTCACGTCTTCGGGCAAAAGAACCTTGCGAATCGGAATAAGAGATAGGGTGTGGTGAGGTGACTGACGCTGAGAAGCTCGTCGGCGGAATCTTCATTGTACTAGTTCGTGACGCAGGGTGGGGTGCAGTGTGCTGGGCGTAGCTCGAGCCAGCCATAATTCTGGAACACTACGGGGTGGAGTGGAGTGAGGTGCCCTGTGCAGTGCGGTGGAAGGCTGGGCAGGGCGGAGGTGTGGTGTGACGTGCACGAGCGGATTAGAGGAACAAGCAAATAATGCTACTGTATCCGAGATTTATTGGCTTGTGAACCGTTCAATTGTTGCGAACCCGATCTTACGGTACATTGTAAATTTGTGTTTCGAGCCGTTAGATCGTTGTTGAGCAGATCTGACGGCATAGACGAAAGAAGTGTAAAATTGCAATCGATCGGAAAAGTTTTACACCCTATCGATCTGAAATGAAGAATTTTTGTAATTCTGCAAGAAACGTAATATACACCGCACGGGCAGGGCTGACGTTTAAAAAAAAAGCACCCTGAGCTGTCGAATGTGGAAAAAAATTTACCCTGAGGGCCTAGTGTTGGAATTTTGAGTTCCATGATTTCTCAGTGTTCTGTAACTTACAACCCTGAAACCTCCAAGGTTGGCTAGCAACAATCAGGGTTGCATTGCACTTGGAAAAAATCAACTAGGAATGTACAGCTACTAGTTAAGTAAAAGCACCACTACGCCACGCCAGTCTACAAGTCCTCTATCTAGTCTAGACTTTACAATATTCCACGCCACTAGCTACACTTGACTAAAATTCTGGGCCATCCATGTTCACTTCGTGTTCTGCCTCGTCATCGGACAGAAAGGGGTTGTCTTTCACTTCAGGAGGAGCCTCTCCCCCCACTCCCCCCTCCCCCTCTCCCTCATCCTCTGCCCAATCCCCCATGTAGTCGGGGACTGAATAATTGGATAGAGGGAGAGTGTCAAACATGTTTAGTTATCATGCTTGTATAGACTGTATAGGGTCAGCTTCTAGAGAGTACAACTGTTAGGTATATGTTTGTGTACTCTCTCTCTCTCAATCAATCAATTTCACTGTTTGATATGGTATCACGCGTAGGTAGGATCCCCCCCCCCCCCCTCACGCTTCCGCTCGCCCCCTAGCTGGGCCCCGTCGTGCTCCTAGCCCCGTCGCGACCCTCCCTCGCCCCGTCGCGACCCTCCCTAGCCCCGTCGCGCCCCTTCTTGGGCCCCGTTGCGCCCCTTTCTGGGCCCCGTAGCGCCCCTCCAGGGCCCCGTCACGCTCCTCCCAGGCCTCGTAGCGCCCCTCCTGGGCCCCATTGCGCTCCTCCCAGGCCCCGTCGCGCCCCTTCCAGGGCTTCGTAGCGCCCCTCCAGGCCCCGTCGCGCCCCTTCCAGGGCCTGGTAGCGCCCCTCCAGGGCCCCGTCGCGCTCCTCCCAGGCCCCGTAGCGCCCCTCCTGGGCCCCATTGCGCTCCTCCCAGGCCCCGTCGCGCCCCTCCCTAGCCCAGTCGCGCTCCTCCCAGGCCCCGGTAGCGCCCCTCCTGGGCCCCATTGCGCTCCCCCCAGGCCCCGTCGCGCCCCTACCTGGGCTTGGTAGCGCCCCTCCAGGCCCCGTCGCGCCCCTCCCCAGCCCCGTCGCGCCCCTCCCAAGCCCCGTCGCGCCCCTCCCAGGCCCCCCTCGCGCCCCTCCCAGGGCCCGTAGCGCCCCTCCTGGGCTCGTAGCGCCCCTCCTGGGCCCGTAGCGCCCCTCCTGGGCCCGTAGCGACCCTCCTGGGCCCCGTCGAGCCCCTCCTGGGCCCCGTCGCCCCTGCTCGGCCCCGTCGCGGCCTCTCGGCCACGTGGCGCCCGCCCGGCCCCTGTCGCGGCTGCCCGGCCCCTGTCGCCCTGCCCGGCCCCTGCTCGCCCGCCCGGCCCCGTTGCCCCTGCCCGGCCCTGCTGTGTCCTGCCCGGGCCCCGTCCCTGCCGCCCGACCTTGTCGCTGCCGCCCGGCCCCGTCGCAGCCGCCCGGCCCCGTCGCCCCTGCCCGGCCCTGCTGTGTCCTGCCCGGCCCCGTCCCTGCCGCCCGGCCCCGTCGCAGCCGCCCGGCCCCGTCGCAGCCGCCCGGCCACGTCGCAGCCGCCCGGCCTTGTCGTTGCCGCCCGGCCCCGTCGCCGCCGCCCGGCCCCGTCGCAGCCGCCCGGCCCCGTCGCCGCCGCCCGGCCTTGTCGTGCCTGCCCGGCCCTGACGCGCCTGCCCCGGCCCTCCATACTTCCTGGTACTGTCCCCCGTTCCCCGCACCACTTTGCACCCTCCTTCACTTTCCTGCCCCGCCTTGCACCGCATTGCACCTCACTGGACCGCACCGCCCGCACTGCACCGCACTGGACCGTACTGCACCGCACTGCATTGCACTGCACCGCACTGCATTGCACTGCACTGTCCTCCACTGCCCCTCATGGCTGCTGAGCTTCGTTTTGATGCTGAGGGTCAGCCTCTGGAGTTCGAGGCGTGGTTGGCTGACCTTCGCCGCCACCTCACTGGCCAGCGGCAGGACGGCCACCCGCTTTCTGCACACCTAGACGGTATGCTCCCCTGCCCTGACCCCCCTGCTGTGCTGCCCGCTGATCCCACGCCCGCTGAGCGCGAGTCCACTGCCGCTGCTGCCCTTGCCCGCTCTGTCTGGCTTTCCCGCGATGCCCTTGCTCAGCTCGCCATTAGCAATGCCCCCCCCCCCCCTGAGCGCCCTCGCTTTAGAACCATTACTACCGCCCAGGCCTACCTTGATGCTGTCATCAAGCGCTATTCTACCCCTCCTGCTGCCTCAGTGGGTCGCCTGATCCTCCCCCTGCTCTTTCCTGACCTGGCGTCTTTCCCCACTGTCTCTGACCTCGCTGCCCACCTGCGCTCGATAGATGAGGCCTGGCGCGCTGCCTGCACTGATGCACAGCTTAGAGTCCACCAGCCTCCCATGACCTCCACCCTCTACCTCCTTGCCACCCGCCTCCCTGACCGCCTTGCCGCCGCCCGCGACCAGTTCCTTAGCATCCATCCTGCTGCTCTCACCCTCACCGACTTTGTTGACACCCTGACTGCCATAGAGACTCGTCACCGCTCCATAGCCCAGGCGAGCGGTACAGTACCGGTCCCTATCTTTCAGGGTTGTGCCCCCGCTCAGTGTACCTTCTCCGACGGCTCTGTCGCTGTGGCTGAGACTGCTGCTGCAGTGCAGTCCCGCTCGGCGAAGGGCCGCCGCCCCAAGGTTGGGAGCGGCGGAGGCGGCGGGGGTGCGGGTGGGGGTAGTGGTGGAGGCGGGTCGTCCGGTGCCGGTGCGGACGTGGGGACCCTGCCCGGTCCAGCTGCCCCGCTGCCTCCACCGTTGCAGCAGCAGCAGCAGCAGCAGTCGCCGCAGCCGCAGCCTTCGCAGCAGCCGCAGCAGCCGCCGCAGACGAGGCCGGCGAGTGCTCTCCCGCCTGGGTGGCCTGGAGCTGGTGGTGGTCGTGCGCGTGGTGGTGCACCGGGTGGTGGTTCTGGAGGCGGGCCCTGTCAGTACCAGATCCAGACCGGTCCTCGCCGCGGCTTCGTTTGCGGTAAGATCGGTCATTCTACTCCTCGCTGTTTTCGTCGTCTGGACGACCTGTTCCGCCAGCGCTTTGGCCCGGCGCCCGACCTCCCGGACTGGCACAGCTTGCTTAGGCGTAGCATTAGGATTTTTGACTTGGACATGGATGCCATTGTAGCAGCCTTGCATGTGATGTATGCTGATGACTCTAGTGTGCTTCCCTCTTATTACCCCGTGTTGCCTAGTGTAGCGGTGCCTAGCGTAGACTCCCCTGCTGCGTCAGGCGTAGGATCTCCTGCTTTGCTTAGCCTTGGTGCTTCCACCGCTTCACTGCCGCCTCACGCGACTGCTGCGCTTTCCTTCACCTTGGACTCGGGCGCCTCCCGGTGTTTCTTCCGCGACTCCACGACGCTGACGCCGCTGCCTGTTCCCGCTGCCGTTACTCTTGCTGACCCCTCCGGTGGTCCCGTCGTTGCCCGCAGTTCCACCTCCCTTCCCTGTCCGGCGGTTCCTTCAGGTTCGCTCACCGGTCTGCATATCCCCTCGTTCTCCAGGAACCTAGTTGGTGTCGGCTGCCTCCAGGACCTTGGCGTCACCACTACGTTCCCTGGTCACGAGCGGTATGCTGTCTGTACCGAGGCCGCCACTGGTGCCCCCCTTACCACTTTCCCCCGGGACCCGGTGTCCGGCCTCTTCACACTTGACACCGCGACGTCCCCGGCTGGGTCTTCCCCCCCGGTAGCTGCGTCCACCCAGGTTGCTGCCGCGTGCTCCTGTCGGTCCCTCACTCACCCGACTCTCCTTTGGCACCACCGCCTTGGTCACCCTGCACTCCCACGTCTGCGTCACATGTCCCAGCACGGTCTCGTCCTTGGTCTCCCCGGTTCGTTCCCCGACTTTCCCTCCTCCCCCGCCCCACCGTGCACGCCTTGTGTCGAGGGCCGGCTCCGCCGTGCCCCTCACTCCTCCTCTTTTCCCCCTACCACCGCACCACTGCAGACTCTGCACATGGACGTCTGGGGCCCAGCCCCGGTCCATGGGCCGCGTCGCGAGCGCTTCTTCCTAGTGCTTGTCGACGACTTCACGCGCTACACCACCGTCTTCCCCCTGGAGCGGAAGGCCGACGTGCCTGACGTTCTCATTCCCTGGCTTGTCTCTGCTCGTGTCCACCGCGGTCTCCCTGCCTTGCGCCTCCACTCCGACCGGGGTGGCGAGTTCGCCTCAGGTGTCCTTGGTCGCTTCTGTCGTGCGGAGGGCATCACCCAGACGTTTACCCTGCCGGACTCCCCGCAGCAGAATGGGGTCGCTGAGCGACGCATCGGTTTGGTCATGGAGGTGGCTCGCACCTCCATGATCCACGCCGGTGCACCCCATTTTCTGTGGCCGTTCGCCGTGCGCTACGCCGCTCACCAGCTTAACCTGTGGCCGCACCCCCAGCGGCCGCAGGTTTCGCCGACCCTTCTGTGGACCGGGTCCCCTGGTGACGCGTCTGCGTTCCACGTCTGGGGCTGCCTTGCCCACGTTCGTGCCTCTGGCACGGACAAGCTTACTGCCCGCACCCTCCCCTGCGTCTTCCTCGGTTTCCCCCTTGACGCGTCTGACTGGCACTTCTACCACCCGCCGTCCCACCGCTTCTTTCACTCTCGCGACGTCACCTTTGACGA